TGTTAAACATAAAAAAGCAGAGAACTCTGAGTGAGTAGAGCTATACAGCAGGTTAGTTAACTGTGTTTATTTGAACTTTTATTTGTTAATATGTGACCCTGGACCACAAAACCAGTCATAAGTCGCGCGGGTATATTTGTAGCAATAGCCAACAATACAATGTATAAGTCAAAATTATAGATTTTTCTTTCAGGATATTAAGTAAAGATCATGTTCCATGAAGATATTTTGCAAATGTCCTACCATAAATATATCAAAACTTAATTTTTGATTAGTAATATGCATTGCTAAGAACTTCATTTGGACAACTTACCATGGTTACATAAGTAACCTGAGACGTTTTCCACATGATGCATCTGAGTGTACTAAAACGCTACATCATTGTTTGATTTTTATTTTGTTTTGTTTTTTACACCCTGTCTTTTGGTTACTCCATGGTGCTTTTTTTGGTTATGCTTTATTTTGATAGTCTACTTTAGACATTCTACTAATTATAAGTAATTTTCCAACTACTTCTCAACTAACTATTTAATTTGCAACTACTATAAACTATAAAATGTCAACTAACTCTTATTAGAGTATTAGTAAACTGTTAGGTTATAGGGTTAGGTTTAGTAGAGTAAGTTGACATGTAGTTGGAAAGTTACTTATAGTTAGGACTGACATAATGAAATGTTACAAAAAATATTGTATCAAACTTTTTTATCAAAATGATTTTAAATTCTTGACTTTTCATTGTTTTTTTTTCTATATTAGAAAACAAGCGTGATTTTAACTTTGCTCACAAATCCTTCCTGGTTTACATACCGTTACTCATGATTTGACCTGCTCATTATTTGGCCTTTTAGGCTCCTGGCCAAAACTATACCATGCTCCTGGCCACAACTATACCAAGCATTCAGGAAAAACTTACATAACCCAAAGAATTATTGCACTAATGGTAATTTTATGGAGTCATATTGAGACTAAAACTAAATACACCACCAATTAACAGACTCTTCCTCCTCTTCTCTGGTCATGAAAGGTGCTCCTCAAAGAGTGTAGGGCTGGCAGCCTCATCTCTGCTCTCTGAATGGTCCTTATCATATGGTTATTCTACATTGAGGTATAAGTCATTTAATATTAAAGTGAGACAGGGAAAAAAACAAGAGCAGTGGGACAGCATTATTAATAATTTAAAGCTATAGCCATAGTAGCTTTAGAAAGTCTCTCCTGATGTCTTTCTGTCTACATCTTGAAGACTGTCCCAGAAAGCTGACAGGTTTCTGAATGCAAGCTAGCATGGCTCTGAACTGCAGATGTGTGGGATGTAGCAAAAAAAAAAAAAAAAGACAATAATTAATGCTTGAGGTACAAGAATGCTAGAGAGTTCAATCAAACAAGCAACTGCGTGAAAATGACATATTTTACAACAGAATTTACAACCCATCCGTCCATGCAGCTCTTCAGCCACATCTGGCAAACTGCACTGCGCCATATAGCAAATTAAAATCATAAAGCCTATACCTGCTGTAGCATTTTCTCTCTCCATAGAGTTTTATCAGAAAATGAATTCATTCATTTTGGCAACATATGCATAAACTGCTGAGCTTCAGAAAACTTATTCAAAGAAAGCAAAATAACTCTGCATTTTTAATATTAAAGTGTTATCAATTCAAAGTACAGTCTTATAGATAAATTTAATTTTGACGGTTGCTTTTTTCATTCGCCATAGTCTTCTCCCTCTACTACAAGTATTACAGCCTAACTCCCTCCCCCACAAAGAATAAAAAATCTGTTTATTTGCAAAGCAGATGAACCATAGTCGTTGAGGCAGCATTTTTCCTGCCGTCTTCGCTGGCAGCAGAACCAGCAGAAAGAAAACTTTGTATAGCCCATCCTGTCTATAAAATCATTATCAGCAAATGAAAAAGCAACAGGCGCATAAGACAATAGGGGGTAATGAGATTTGATGTAAACGGACAGTCATCCAATGGCCATCAGTGAGTGTGGAGGTTGGGGACACAAAAAAAAATAGAGATACTGTAGATAGATAGATAGATAGATAGATAGATAGATAGTTTTAAACTAAAACAAAGTAAACCATAACTGAATACTAACACATTCTTGGAGTTGAGTTAAATCACAAAGAAAGATCAGAGAATGGTTTAATCTTCAAATAAGGCAGGAGAATGAGTATGATTTTAAATGTAATTTTAGTTTTCATCTGTGATTTTGATCTGTGTCTTTGACCTTGTTCTAATACGACGTGCTGCACCTCAGTTTACAGAGTGTATCTCTGTTTGGTTGCATCATGGAAAAGGGGAATGGAGTACTGGGACATTACCTGCATGAAAAAGTTACCACTCACCACTGGTTTTATCTATGCTGGAATACAAAATGTACTAGAGATATATACCAATGACGCAAGGTTTTTCACCCATGTTCAAACAGGATCACATTATATAAATCTATGTATATGAGATTGAGGTGTTTTAAATGTTTGGAGTGATGGTATTATACTTTTTCTGTTTACATTAATTGCAGCGACAGTCCCCCCAAGTTAGTTATCGTTGAGTGCTTTACTCTAAGCCATAATGGTGATAAAGAGAGTGCTATCAGTAACTCTCCTTTGATTAGATCACAGAATAGTGGAATATGGTCAACAGTATATTGCACTGATTAATCTGAAGGCTGATCTACTGGACCGTGTCACTACAAAAGACTGCTGTTACAATTTAACATAAGGTGATCTATGCAGAAAGACAGTTTTGGTACTACAAAAACTGGTACTACAAATTTTGGTACTACAAATTTTTGGTAGATTTGCAAACAAGCTATCTCAGTCTATCAGGTTTATATGATAACACTTCCCTCCTAAAAATGAATGTATCGAAACAATAATGAATATTATTTTAATATAATAACCATTTAATTTTGGTTAATAGCTGATATGTTTGGGTTGTTTGCTGGTAATATGGTCTAGATGATTGATCGGTTGGACTAACAGGGCTGACATTGACTTGGTCTGATAGACTCTATCAGACCAGGTTAACGTCAGCCCTGATAGTCCAATTGATCAATCATCTAGACAAGTTAATTACCATAAATGAGCGACTTGCTCAAAGTCACACCAGTTGCCATCATAAACCACATTTCCAGAAGGGGTGACACAAATGAGCTTTAACACTGCTATACAATTAAGCTATTAAAGCATATTAGGAAATATCCAGGCTCTAACTTGTATGACATGATATCTCATAATAGCATGATGATTAATGATCATCTTCAAAATTATACAGAGTGTTTCACTTTGTATTCTTTATAGAAGCTTATGATTAAGAGCATTCACATTTGCTAGTGAATTTTCCAGAGATCTGTGAAATGTTGAAGTTTGATCTTATAAATTATTAGTTTAAGAAATGTTAAAGAACTTTAGCATGCAGCTTCATCAAAGGCATTCTTTTTCTTAGTTACTTTCAATTACTTTGCCATTTCATAATATATCATACTTTATAACAACTTAATTATTTTGTATTCTGCATTATTAAGCTGTTTGTGAACGAACCGTTATAGTTAATGTGCATTTCACAAATAAATCATTGTGATTATCAGTCAATATGGATCCACTTTGCACATCCATTGCAAATATTTATTCCCAACCCCTACTGATACACAAATGGATAGAAAACAGCTTTAGTGTTGTTTGCAGTGTTTTAGGAGAAAATTACATCCAAGGGGCCTTTTATCCCAATGGCCTTTTAGCTTCATTGTACCCCATCATAGAAAGAGTATGTGCAAGGAACTAAACCTTAGAAAATAAAATAAATTGGTTCAAATTTGATTTATAGATTCACAAAGAATTATTTAACATTTTACTTTGGGGGGGTACCACATTTAAAACATTTGAAAAATATATACCTGTATATTATTACTTAATTACTTTTATGTATTATTTTATATATTATTTATATATAAAAACGAATTATTTGCGTTCATTAAGGCTCTGCATTAAAGGAACAACAATGCTTCCCTGCATATACAATTTAGTGTTATCCTGCTGATTGATGGTTGGCAGAGAACAGAAATACCGAGAGGGCGATGCATGCCGGTAGGTGGCAATCCCACATCAATTTGTGCCAAAAAAGAAGAAGAAAAAAACATTACAGAGAAAATCCACACATATTAATAAATGCAAGTTTAAATAAAGATAACATGCTTCTCTTTTTGTCTTTTAGGCGAAATGAGTAACTAAAGACTGTGCACGCACACACACAAAGCGATGCGCATCATTCAGCAACAGATGCGTTTCAAACGCGCAGTGTCAGGTTTAATATATCATCCGTCAGTCGCTGCAAATATTCCCTTCTCCTCAGCCACATTTTCACAGACGGTGTCTCTTTCCGTGTGCTTACACTTTCTATTTAGCCTACATTTTCTGACGAAACATAGAGCTGGCCGGCGCAACGGCGATTTGTAAGCAATGCGAAAGGAGCAGAAAACTGCAGCGCCAAACAAACGTCGCTTTAAATGAGCCTGGACGAGCTGAGCTGAGATTCACGAAGGGAACGTATTAAGTTTAGTACGCTGACATTGAACGGCAGAATTAGCCAGAAGCTCCCTTAGCAACGCGAGTTAAAACGTTATTGCTGGACGTTAAGCCGCCAGTTCAACTTTGAGGAGGCTCTGCAGCGGACATCGCTCACGAGAAATGATGAAGGCGAGAGGAAGGAGTGCGCACTCAAGGAGGCTCTGAGGTGATGCTGTAACACATTCAACAGCGTTCAGCGGAGTCAGCACGTTGTGTTACATCTATGGACTGCGGTGGTGGATGTGGGCAAGATCTGAAGAGCATGGGGCCAGTACGCGTTGAAGAACGGCGGTGTATGGCAGTGGTTTTAAAGGGCACATCTCGATCTGAGTGAAACCTACCAAGTACTAACTACTGGATTTTACCCAAAGGGAGGCTGTTTAAAACCCATGTGGTTTAGACATTTCCTTCCCAGATTTGGATACTAGGCTTTTTTTTATGTGTCCAGCAAAACATGTCAACGGTGGTAGATTTATCCCCGATGTATTTACAGATTTTGTAGAAGATTTGTTCTCTTCAGGCCCCCCTCCCCCTTTTTTTGCACCTGCTTTGCTTTGTCAAAGCTCACGGAGCGCTTTAGAGCGCGCTGCTCTTACTTGCATCTCCGTACATCGTGCATGGATTCTACATGAACTGGGGGTTTTGTGAGGGCTGCAGTGATGCTCCCATTTACTGATATCGCCGCACAGCTCGCATTTCCTGACAGAAATGGGTAAGGAACCGTAGCCTAATCTAACCGGTCTGTACAGATCTATTTTAAAGCGAACCTATTTTCTTATTAAGTTGACGTTGAATGGATGCATCTCATCTTTTGAATGTGTTCCTATCTATCTATCTATCTATCTATCTATCTATCTATCTATCTATCTCTCTATCTATCTATCTATCTATCTATGCTGCAGAGGGTTATGATTTGCTTTATTTCTGTGGCTGTGATGTGGTATATTTGGGGATATTTATTCAGCTGTCTTATGCTTTTCTGTTGCACTACTTACCATTACTTTTGCTAGAATATGGCGTTGGGTCATTCATATTCTGTTCACATGTGCATTGCTACGCTCTAAAGAGACAAGGGGAAAGAGGCAGTGTATCCATGATGGTCGACACAACTGTTTCTCATTACCTCTAATAGACCCCAGTGACTTTTGAGGCTTCCTGAATACCGCAAGTAAATGTTATTAGTTAACACACTGCAACATAACCATTTTATAATTAATTTGTGGTTGGGATAAAAAACGCAGGAAGTTCCAGGAAGGCTGGCAGCTCACACTGGTGCTAATCTGCATTAAACATTCAACCCTCAAAAGGCTTCAGAACTTCACTAAGGTACACTGTAAAAAAAATTCCGTAAAATTTACGGTAAAAAACCGGAAGCTGTGGTTGCCAGAATTTTACCGGTGCTGTAATGGACACTATAAGCAAGTCTGATTCATTGGATAAGCTTCTGTGCTATGTATTGGTTTTTGAGAGAGTTTATGTAATTTATGATGGATGATTCATGGATTCGTGGGTTGTTGCTTCACCAGTGGTGTTGAGGATTGAGGAGCTGTCTTTTTTGGGAAGGTGCTGAAAACCATTACCGTTTATGGTAGGAAATAACATTATGAGAAGGTTAAAAAATGGGCTGCAATAATTATCAAATTATTGCATTATGTACTTATCAGAGTAAGTATTGTATAAAAAGTTCAATCAAATAAGACTTAAATGCGCCAATTCATGTTTTTCGTTTTTATGGATGTCCTTAATGCATACTTTCCTTCAAGCATTCTTAAGCTCCTAAAATGAAAGAGTTACACAGCAACAACAATATTTGACAAGTTAATGCTTGCAGATATAATAAAGATTCTCTCTGTGTTAGATAAATATACTAAATGGGCTTTAACTTTCCCTTTCACTGCAAATAATCCATGACAGATGTTCTGAGCATTTTCAGTCCACTGTGGACCATAATCATCTTAGCCAGCTTAAATGAAAGAATCAAATAGCTCAATTACAGTATTTTAGAGAAAATGAATTCTCCCAAATTAAATGTGTGATTAAAATCACATATCCATTGGGGTCACAATAAAAAAAAATCATTATATTAATCTGCAATTTGCAAGAATCGAGTTCTTCTGTTTCCAGTAAAGTATCTCCACCTTTGTGTTGTGGAAACATTCTTTCTCACTTTTCTAAGATTGTGACCTGAAATTAATTCTTGGGCTGGACATTCCTTATCCCCAAGCTCTTATTTGATTGATAATATGTCAGAAGCAGTTCAAAGAAACAAGGTTCAATGTGTAATGCAGGCACTGGCGTGCTGTCATGAAGATGAGTGTTAATGTATTGAATGTGTCTGCTGAGCCAAAAAAGCCAGATATCATTAAATTCCCCTAAGGCAAGGAGGAGCCTGTAAACGAGAGCATTTAGCCAATATCGCACACATTAACCTCCGTAATCTCTGCCATTTAGAGAAAAATGAAGCAGTTGAAATGCTTCTGCCCACCCTGATGCTTCATAAAGACCATCTCTAATGTGGGTCAGGCTGTGCAAAATTAAAAAAGTTTAATGACATAGATTGAAAGGATTGTATAGACTAGCTTCTTCATCTTTAGATGCAAAAGATATGCTAAAAATGGGGAGAATTGCGCTGTGGCAAAATTGTAAATGTAATGTTTTTTATCTCAGTGTTGGAGTGTTAATGCAGTGAGGCCGAATGAATGACTGCACCGCTGGTGTACTGTTCTCGGGTCAGAGGAAGTGCTGTTAGACAAGATATAATCCAGCCAGCAGTGAGCACCGCTTCTGCCAAACACTCAGCCACACTGGCTTTCTCTTTAAAAATTGTGTTTTATTAATCGTGCGGCGTCCCATTACTCTGTCCCAGCAGAATTTAAAGTAACAATAGTACAATGATGGAATTTTAAGTAGGATAAATGTCTGACTTCCTCTTTAGCTAAAATGTTTGACCTTTGGACCATTACTGTAGAATCGATAGCACTTGTTAGATGCATTCATGCTTATGTCAGCCATTGTGAAATGGTAACAACCAACATTCAATTCTTTTGTGGTTATTGATGAAATCTATCTGTTGTGTTTGAAGACAATATCATCTACAAATACATCCCAAATACCATACTAGCAACGATACACTAAAAAAAATATTTTTTTAAGTCTTTTTCTACTTCAAAATTTCGTGTTTAATTCATAGTTTTTCTTGCCATTTCTTTGTCATTTTTTGTGAAATTTACTAGAAAATTTAATTCAAATTAAAAAAAATTTTTTCAGTGTAGGCAATCAGTTTGTTTCATTCATTAGTACTGCCAATAAATTAAAGAATCATTCTGCTAAAAAGCTTGTAAAGCTTTGTTTATCCTGTAACTTTTAACAATCCTCATATCTGATCTAGTACCCAGGATGACTGAGCTTTGAAGAAACCCTCTGGTTTTTATGTGTTTTATTCAGGCATTATGTTTATGTTTAATAAGGTCTCCAGTGGCAGATTCTTGCTGATGATAATTCTGGAATCACCAAAGGCTGTTGCTGGGTCATGTGGCCTCTGTGAATGCCTGTTCACATTACTCTTCTGAGAATTTGTACCGGAGCGAAGATACCGTGGGTTATTACCTGCAGTATGTTGGTTGTCACAGTAGATTTCCCTTAACAATTTAGACTGCGCTGAGGTGAATGTGCTCCTGGAATGGCCTAACGTGGTTTCCTTGCTCATTGCCTACTTGCCTGTTGAGTAATATTGGGGTCATGGGTTCAAATCCCACTTGGAGCCATAGCAAAATTTATCAAGCATATATGTAATGAGCTACCCTGCATAGTGACACAAGCTAACAATTAGATCCATCCAAAATGGCTTCTTTTATAGACCCTTGAAGCTGTGAGAACTGATATATAAGCGTACCCTATTGATGTTTTTTGCTCTAACGCAATTTAGATCCTTCATGGTCTCTTTTATTATGTGATAGTGCAATGAATCAGTTGTTGATGGAGATATCAGTGTATGATTTATAATTAGTCTGCCTGTGGTCGTTGCAAGGAGCAGATCGCCTAATGTGAATTACGTAAGAAATAGATGTAGGTCTTGGGGAACAGGATGCAGCCCAAATGGCTACAGATAAATGATGGAGCGAACATGCTGCACTGGTTTTAGTTCAGCAGCAGATGTCTAATGCCATACGCGGATGCAAAAACCCTTTCTGACAGACATTTGGCGCACTGGAGAGGAGCCAGTGTGTTGCACAGATGCATAGGAACGGAGAGGTTAGAGTTCGTGCATTTTAAATCTATGGAGATAGGTCCTTTGCGCAGCTTATTAAGCAAATCTCTCATTTTAGTGAAAATGAAAATTGACTCCTATGCCCTCAGGCCTCGGTAACTGTAATAAATGTCTGTGCATTTGAAATACTAAGGCTTTGCGGCTCAGTCAGAGCCCGCCATAGAGATTGTGCCGTCACACAATAGCGACAGCCTCCGTGTTGATTGTTAATTCAGAAATCCTATGTCAACGCTATATCCTACAGATGAGCCAAATGGCATAAATTGTACTGTTCAGAGAGATTAGTCAGTGGAGACAGAGAGGGAGGTGTTCTCAGCTCAGCTCAGCTTATAAATATCACTTTGCCTTGATTGCACTGTATGTTTGTCATCACCGCCGTGGAAGGCACAGTACAAATCTGGGTTGCTCATTATATTGGAACCCCTTTTCAAACAGCCACCCTCCCCTCCCCAAGAGGATGTCTTCACCCACTCTCAGCATATTTTGGATATGGGAGAGGAACTTGAAGGCAGTTGGCTTTTTCAAGCCTCTCAGATCAGTTGGCCTGGATTCACAAGCAGAAGTGTGTCAAAGAGATCCGTGTCTTTGAGGCTGATAAATCACAGACTTCCTAGAATACATACTGTTGTGACAGGGTCCGGGGTCGAAGCTTGTTCCACAATAAAAACATTTGCCAACCAACAGACTCTTCTAATATGGCGGATATAGATCGAAACAGCTTGGCATCTCGGCAGACGCATACTGACACATACTGCTATCCATGAGACAGTGTCTGGACAGAGTGGTTGAGCAGCAAATGCTGGAAGATCTAAATACATTTACTCTTGTCTTAATGCTTTTGGTTTAGGTGATCATATTGCCATTTATTCATTAATGCAGACAAAAATGTGTTTGTCTGTTGCTGTATCTATCTTATTATTCTGTCATTCTGGCGTTCTGTCATACTATTGTCCCATCATTGTATTTGTCCTTTTAGGCCTATAAAACTTCTAATTTCAAACCTTTTAAAACTTGTTTCAAATGTTTTTGACCAACTTTTCTAATAAAAAAAGTTTTAGTTTAATTTAATTCAAATTTAAATTGCAATTATATATCCTGTTTACTACCTCAATTCAATTCTAAAGGGAGATTGATTGTTCTGATCACTAAAAATTAGTTTCTTGTTCACACCAGATTCTTATTCTTTTAAGTAAACTGCATGTGTTTTGGCACAAGAGTAGAGAACAATTTGCACAATAATAAAATAGCTTGCTAATCAAAACGGATGAGTTTTTTCTCAGTGCAAGTCATCACATGCAGAATGATCCAAACATCAAAATTTGTCAGGCATACATTTATATGTGATAAATATCTAGGACCTGGAATATTTTCTGTTTACATGTAACACGTTGCTGCAAAAAATAAATGTACTGTATACATACAAATGTGTACAATACAGTATTGAC